AGGTAAACATCCTTCTGGTATTCTCTGCTTTCTGCCAAGATCCATCAGACATCAGCAATGATATCCCTCGTTCCACGGCCTCTTCTGAATCCAGCTTGAACCTCTGGAAGTTCTCTGTCAATGTACGATTGTAGCTTTTTCTGTATTACTTTTAGTAAAACTTTACTCTCATGGGATATCAAAGATATTGACCGATGATTTCCGCATTCTATTGGGTCACCTCTCTGAGGAATGGGCACAAATACGGATCTCTTCCAATCAGTCGGCTAGATAGTTGTCTTCCAAATTTCTAGGCAGAGATGAGTGAGTGCCTTCTTACTTTCTTGAAAGATTTCAATTTTTATTCCATCAATTCCTGGTGCCTTGTTCTTTGCCACTTCTTTCAATGCACCTTGGACTTCCTCCCTAAGTTCCATTGGCTCTTGATCATTTGCTACCTCTTGAAATGGTTGAACATTAACCATTTCATTTTAGTACACTGACAGTGTATTCCTTCCATCTTCTCTTGATGCTTTCTGCATCATTCAATAATTTGCCCAGAGAATCTTTCAATAACAAAAGTCAAGGCTTGCATTTTTTCTTCAGTTCTCCCAGCTTGAGAAATGCTGAGCGTGTTCTTCCTTTTTGGTTTTCTGATTCAAGATCTTTATAAATTTTGTTATAATACTTGGCTTTATCTTCTTGAGCTGATCTTTGAAATTTTCTGTTTAGCTCTTGGACCTCCTCATTTCTTCCATTTGCTTTAGCCTCTCTATGCTGGAGAGCAAGTTTCAGAGCCTCTTCTGACATCCATTTTGAACTTTTCCTTCTTTCTTGTCTTAATAACTTTTTGCTTTCTTCCAGTATGATATTCTTGATGTCATCCCACAACTCATCTGGTCTTTGGTCTTTAGTGTCTAATGTATCAAATCTGTTCTTCAGATGATCTCTAAATTCAGGTGCGATATATTCAAGGTCATATTTTGGCTCTCGTGGACTTGTTTTCATTTTCTTCAGCTTCAGTTTGAATTTGCATATCAGTAATTGATGGTCTTTTCCATAGTCTGTCCCTGGCCTTGTTTTCACTGATGATATGGAGCTTTTCCATCATCTCTTTCCACAGATGTAGTCAATTTGATTTCTATGTATTCCATCTGGTGTGGTCCATGTGTATAGTCGTCTGTTATGCTATCTAAAGAAGGTATTTGAAATGGACAAATCATTGGTTTGGCAGAGTTAGTATTGGGTATTACCTAGAGTCAGTATCTCATGAAAGGAGAGTAAACGTGTGAGTACAGATAGAGAGCGGACAGCTAGAAGTCAGGACATGCGGAGATCTAGCTCCAAGGCTTCGGAACATAGCAGCTGGCTGGCCCTTTCCCCAGAGCAGGCTCTCTGCATTTGGCCTTCCAGCCTCCTACACTGTGAGAGGGAGGCCTGGGAGGTGCTGCAGGTTACTGAGCTCGACTGAAAAATCATTTTGAACTGTACAGTCGGCGGTTCAAGGTCACCAGTCCCTCCTCGGAAACCCCATACATGGTTGCCATGGGTCAGAACTGACTTGACGGCACTTAACAAATTGTGAGAGGTGTTCTGGTGTGGTGCTATAGGCACTGGACCTCAAGGTCTGTTTGAACTGCAAGGTTGGCGGTTCAAACTCAGCCGCTCTTTCCTGCACAGGGTCACTGCGGGCCGGAAGTGACCCTGGCATTTAACAAAAAATTGTGAGAAATTTCATCTCTGTTTGTTAGAGTCATCCCCTTGTGGTATCTGCTATAGCAGCTCTAAATAACACACACACACAGAGACAGACATACCACACACATTCCCATGTGCACAAAGACACACTACAGGCACACACAGAAACACACACACACACTCACCACCCCCAGCAGGTAGAGCCCCCGGAATTTCATTCCCCTGGTCATCTCCTCCATCCACTCTGCCCAAGTGTCCCAGGCCCAAATTCTCCCCTGAGGTGACAACTCAATGGGTGCTGTCCCCACATCATGTAGACAGGGCGACAATGAGAGGGGCAGTCCACCTCAGTCTCAGAGGTTCTGGGTCAGGGTGAAGACACGTCACCTGCAGGTCCAAGTCCAGGCTGCAATCTGGAGCCCTGGAGGACCATGTGCCTGAAGTGAGGGGTCCTCCCATTCCTGGTTGGCATCATTGTGGCCCCTCCGACAAGCTCTCCAGCCCAAAGACTGTGCCCCAACTGCACACACACTCTGTTTGTGAAGCCTGGTCAGCAGTGGAAGGCCTATCCGCATGGGCACAGCATGCAGGGCGGGACTCACCTGATCCGGAACATTGTCAGCCAGTAATTCAAGGCGTTGAACACAGCTCCCAGCATACCCCCTACGGTCGGCAAGACAGAACACGGGAGGGGCAGGAGGGAGCATTCAGACTGTGCCATGGACTGCCCATGTGCCCAGCCACCCATGCACTCCCGGTACCTCCTGTGCTCCGACACCACCCACACCACGTGCCTAGGCTGGGAGCTGGGGGTCCCTGGTCTGCAAGGGACACCCCTCAGAGACTCCTTCCTCAGGAAAAGGCATTCCTAGAGCTGCACACCGTGCCCCTGCCCCGCCAGCCCTATGCCCCCTGCACTGCTCCCTTCAAGGAGGGCACAGAAGGAGCAGCAAGGCGGCGATGGGCTGCTGCTCTCTCTGTGCCCCTGGCCAGTGGGGGTGGAGCGGCCTCTGACACCTTCACCACCATAGTGGTCACTCATACAGAGGGGGAGGGGGACTCACCAACAACGCCCATGGCGATGAAGATGGGGATCTCGTGGATGGTGTAGACCATTTTCTGGACAGAGAGAGGGGGGAGCAGAGCCGTCAGGATTCGAGTCGACATCCCAGACCTCCCCATTCACAGAAACTCCCAGCTTGTGAGTTGTCAGCCTCACACACGGAGGTCAGGGCCTCAGTGGACACTGGGCAGTCTCTACCTCCGAGGAGAGACCTGAGGCTCCGCCCACCAGGCAGTTGGGAGCAATGTGGGAAACAGCCCCGGATCTTGGGTTCTCAGTCCTGTGTCCAGGGTTTCACAACAAGTGGCAGGCTATCACCTGCCCATGTGCCACTCTGAGGTCACAGGCTACCACCTGCCCACGTGCCACTCTGAGGTCACAGGGCGCCTCGGGAGCCTGGGGCTCACCGACTGGCTATCAGGGAACGAGCGGGGGTGGCGAAGGCAGTTACCTCGGTGTCGAACCTCCCGAAGTTGATGAGGCCGGGGCTGGAGAGGTCCCCCATGTTCCCACGGTAGATGCTGAGCACAAAGTTGAGGGTGAAGGTGGAGATCATGGAGGCGAAGAACTGGGCAGAGACACGGCACCAGGTCAGCTGTCAGATACCACGGGGGACGGTGCTGGGGAGACCCCGCCCAGGGACAGGCCATGGGACAGCGAGCTCGGTGGGAAGCAGCTGGTGGGCACTTTGGAGTCAGATGATAAGGGTGGGGGTCCATGGACAAAGGGCAGGGTGCAAGGTGGCCGGTGGTCAGTGGTCAGTGTCACTCACAATCCTCCAGGTCAGGAGCTGGTTCCAGAAGGACGCACCTTCCTCCAAACTGAAGAGGACACCGCCTGGACAGGGGGCCAGGGTCACCTGACACGCCAGCCCACACCCGAGGGGGCCGGGATCACCTGACACGCCAGCCCACACCCGAGGGGGCCGGGATCACCTGACACGCCAGCCCACACCCGAGGGGGCTGGGGTCACCTGACACACCAGCCCACACCCGAGGGGGCCGGGGTCACCTGACACGCCAGCCCACACCCGAGGGGGCCGCCCTGACCTGCCAGCCCAGACCTGATGGGGTAGGGGCCTCACCAGGGAATGGCCTGAAGTGACCCTACCCAGGCGTTTTTCCCACAGCCAGGTCGGGCACAGCCACCCTCTTACCTACAGGGGCCCCAAAGGCAGCTGAGACACCGGCTGCAGCCCCTGCAGAGACAAAGTCCCGCTTCTCCGTGTCTCTGCGGAAGTATTCAAAGATCTAGGGTGGGACAGACAGATGGACGGACGGAGGCTCAGCCAAGGCTCAGCTCTCTGGAGCCGTCAATATGATCGAAAAGGGACTCCTTGGGGGGCGGCACAGACCAGGCTAACACAGACTCTCGGGGGGGCCGAAGACCAGGGCTTACAGAGACTCTCAGTGGGGGCCGCAGACCGGGGCCCATAAGGACTCTCAGGCCTCCTGTGGGCCCCACACCAGTCTGCCTGAGTCAAGTTTGTTCAAGGTATTGTCTGGTTCAGTCTTCCCCCCACAGCACATGTGGCTGGGATCCCCCTTCACAAGACGGGTATCAACAGAGGCTCTGACAGCGAGACCAAGGTCAAGTACCACGATGGGACACACCTTGAAGTCCCGCTTGAGTGACGTGGACCTGCCCTGGGAGATGCCAGCAGCAATGACAGAGCCTGAGTGGATCATGGGTCCTTCCTGCAAGGACGAGCGCTCAGATGCGGGGTGGGGAGTTGGGGAGCAGAGGGGGAGGGGCCCCACAACTCACCTTCCCCACAGCCAGGCCGCCCACCACAGACAGGATCACTCCAGCCACTTTGATCACCAGGGTCTGGGATGCAAGGAGAGACAGGGGTCTGTGAGCGAGGAAGACACCCAGACTCACACGTGCAGCGCAGCCACACCCCTCCCCGCATCTCCAGGTCAGTTCCCGGTCAGTTCCCGTCCACTTACCCACTGCACTCAAGCCCAAGCACCCTGAATGCCATCCCTGCCCGTCCCCCCGAGACCATGGCCACCACACGCCTACCTTGAGCCGCACCACATGGGGGATCTTTACGCCATTGAGAAAGCACTTGATCTGGGGGATTCCACTGCCTGCTGCCACCGGCTGAAGGGAAAAGTGGGTGCTGACAGGGTGTCCAGCCAAGGGCCAACTGCTCCTCACCTCCCCTGAGGGGTCCATGTCTCAAGATGCAGGGAGCAGGGACAGAGTCCATGTCCCAAAGGGAGGGGAGAGGTGGGGATGTCCTGGAGCTCAGGACCCAATGCGGGGCCACCAAGGAGGTACGGGGCCTGGAGCTTGGGGAGGCCTCTGTCCCACCTGTGGGAGCCTGGTTCCCACACCTTCCTCATACCGCCCCTGGAATGGGTTCTGCCCTGCTCCAGTGATCCAGTCCCCTGTGTTGCAAGGACATGGCCGCTGCCCTTTGCTCTGGCAGGTCTGTGGGAGCATTCTTAGTCACCACTACAGCACGACTCTGCCTGGGGGGGCCCGCACCTCTATGAAGGCCACGATCAGCGAGCCCACGAGCACAAAGGCGGAGTTCAGCAGCGTCCACAGCAGCAGGGAGAAGGACAGGCCCCCTTTCTCCGTGAACTTGTCAATGTCTGGCTTGTCAAGGATCAGCAGCCACAGACCCCACTCGGCCCGCCCCCCAGCCCCCAGCCCAGCCACACCTCGGGGTCCACACTCAAGGATACTGTCCTTGACGACCCTGTACTTGAGACCAGCCAGGTTCTCCACCACGATGTCGATGAAGCAGGCCACTAGGCCCGTGAGGGTGCCGATGAGGGCGCAGATGACCCAGCGCCTGATCTCTACCGTCCGGAAGGCCTGGGGGGCGGGGTCCATCAGAGCCGCTCTAGTGGGTCCCCACTGCCCCCGCCGCGTACACAGCTGTGAATGTGGCCGGGCGCCTCATAGGGCATTTCCCACAGCCCCTCACAACAACACAGCCACTGTGACACCCCCCCCTACCCCCACGTGTCCCGACCAGACAACACCCGGGCAGGACGACAGAGCATGGTTCTGGACCCCGAGGTCGGACACTCCAGGGCTGAGGGGCTGTGGGAGGAACAGCGGGGGCCACGCTCACCGTGTGGTTGATACTCCGTTCCTCCTCTAGGAATAGCTGGTTCTCACTGTTGTCATAATCCAGGCTCTGGAGGCGCGGGAAAGGGCAGGTCACCATTGGTGTGGGGTTGGGGCCCAGGGATCAGGGATCAGGGATCAGGGCCCAGGGATCAGGGATCAGGGATCCCAGGGCAGGGCATATGGACAAGAGCAGGGGGCTTACCTCATATTTCAGGGAGAGCAGCTTCTCATTGTGGGGGATCTCCTTGGGGAAGGGCTGAGGGGGGTCCATCCCCTGTGGAGGAAGGGGACAGCCACCCACCTGACTACCAGAACATGGAGGAAAGGAGGGCATGCCTCCCGACACTGTGAGGCCAGAGGATCCTGACATCAAAACCCGAGACATAACAGGAAAACGACAGGCAGCTATCCTCTATGAATGAGGGCATTAAGAACCCTCAACCAATCACCACCAATACAATACCATGAGGAGGTGGGGCATGGGTAGCCCCCCACACTGAACTCCCATCGGTGTGACATGACACAGCTCAACAACACAGGAAAGACCCACAAAGTCTCTTCAAGAGAATCAGAGACCGACGACGCACGTGCTGCACGGGGAAGCCGGAGCACACATCCACTGCTGGCGAGAAGTAGATGATGCAGCCACCAGAGAGAACAGGCTTATGGTTCCTCAAACAGCTACACAGGGAGTTACCACGTGACCGAGACTTGGCTGCAGGAACATGTGAGGACACGTGCATACCACTATGGACCAAGCAGCACTGTGTTCCAGTGTCCACCCATGGACGAGGGATAAACATGCTGCGGTCCAACCACACAGCAGGCAGACCTGATCCACGTTCAGAGAGCTTATAGGACACCGTAAACTGCTGTCAGACCTCCCAGGTGCTGAGCCTTAAAGGAGCAGCCTCAGCTTCCTCCCGCAGAGCGGCTGGTGAGAAAGCACTGACCTTTCACAGTTAGCAAGTCAGCACTCAACCCATGGAGCCACCTGAGCTCCTTCTACCCACACACTACTCAACTATAGAGAGATGATGTTCTGACACATACTGACGTCCTCACGTGCCCAGCCCAGCCCCCAGGTGACGCAATCCCTGAGGAAGCAGGCAGTGGGTCCCTGAGAAGTGGGGGAAGCAGAAGACAAGCGCCCACAAAGGCATCTGACACCCAGCGCCCCGCTGTGGCCTGCTGGCCAAGGCAAAGATAAGGCTGTCCCTTCAGGGCTATAACCCCCAAGAAGGCGCTCAGCACCTTCCCCAGATGGACCCTGTGGCCAGAGGGGCTGGGGGGTGCTCTGGGGGTTAGATAAATATTTACTCTGCACCATGCCCAGCCACCAGAGAGGGAGACCCCCAGCTCTTTCCCCCACTGCACTGGGTCTCTGCGCTCACTGGGGTCTCAGAGCCCCCCATTCACACACACAGCCCACCCTGTGTCCCTCCCACACTCACCGGGTCCAGCAGCTCATCATCCAGCTCCAGGACGCTTGTCTGTCCGATCTGGAAAAATGCGGAGGGAGGCGGCTGGAAGCAGAGGGGCAAGGTGAGGTGCAAGGACACAAAACTGTGTTTCTCTGGGTGCCAGCCCATCACCTGCACCTGTGGGAGCTCTGCAGAGGGGTCCTCACCTGAAGCCCTACCCCCACCCCCTGGGGCCTCAGGTGGCCTCAGAAATGGGCTACCACACCTGCCGTCCCCAAGAGAGAAGCCAGACTGTGACACCAGGTCCTCTGAAGGGCCAGCTCCAGAGCCCCACTGGGACCCCTCTCCACTTGTCCTAAGGGCTAGAGCAGCTGGCCCCAACTCCAAGGAGATTTCTTCAACCTACTGCCTCTGGGGCCCATTCAACCGGCTCCACAGCCTCAACCAGCTCTGGCGTTCCAGTGCCGCCTTCTCAGCCCAGCCTGGACGAGGCGCACAGGGAACAGGTCCTGGGCTGGGAGCCTGTACACACAGACACCCACAGGTACACATGTGTACACACACACACAGACACAGACAGGCTCACACAGGCGCACAGGAAACACGTCCTGGGCTGGGAGTTTGTACACACAGACACACACAGGTACACATGTGCACACACACACAGAGACAGGTTCACACAGGCGCACAGGGTACACATCCTGGGCTGGGAGCCTGTACACACAGAGACACACAGGTACACATGTGCACACACACACACAGAGACAGGTTCACACAAGCGACAGGGAATACATCCGGGGCTGGGCTCCTGTATACACATTGTGTGCACACAGAGAGACATGTACATATATACACACATGGGAAAGGACCCTGGGCAGGAATCCTATACACACACACACACACACACACACAGACATGCACACACATACACACAGGGAAGCACTGCTTTGGGTTGGGCTCCTGTACACACATGTGCACACACACAGACAGTCACACACACGTGCACAGGCGCACACGTATGCTCAGACACTGAGACATGTACACAGGCACACTACAGATGCACACATAGGCATGTGCACACACCCAGTGGAATGGTGGGAGCATCTCACACTCCAGGTGTAGCCTGGCGGCTCCGCAGCCCCATTCCTGGACTCCACACACAGAGCCTCGCAGCTCTAGGGCCGGGGCATGAGTCTGGGATCTCAGCCCTCCAGATGGCGGGTCCAGAGCACACACAAGGACGGGCTCTGTCAGCACTAGGGCGGGGAGGGAGGGTGAAACCACCCCTACATCACCAAGTGCTCTCCAGGTCTTCTGGCACCTTCTCAGGAAACGCAACACAAGGTCTCTTTTCATGTCAGCTTATTAAATGACAAAACCCAAAAGCTTCTCTTTCAAGAACACTCTGCGTGCCCTCAGACGGATGAGACCAAGGGGAAAGGTGGGGCCGGAGCTCCCAGGCTCCGGCCCCACCTGGAGGACCAGTGCCCCAAGGAAGACCTGGTTCAAGTGCTGCCGTCATGGGCGTGTGCAGGCATGCCTGCCATAGCCCTGCACCTGACCAGGGCGGCCATTGAGCGAGTTCTCAAGAATGAGTACAAGAAGCAGACAGACAGCAGACAGAATGTACAGACAGCCAACCCAGCATGTCTCCACTTCATTCACCAGTGGCGGGGACACACACTCCGACACAGGACCCCACGGGGGCCAGAGCCTAGCTGTTCGCCACGGAGTGAGGAGTGGACCACCATGGTGTCTTCACAGTCTTAGTCTAGAAACTTGCTCAGAACCCTAGCAACTTGCAAGACTCCAGTGACGTATGGGTGGTGGTTGAGCATGGGGCTTACTGGCTGGAGATGGAGCCCGGGTCTCCCACATTCCCCGCCATGTTGATTTCCATTCACAGTCACCACGCAGGACAGAACCCAACTACGGAGGACTGTTTCCGAGACTCTAAACCTTTACAGGGGCAGACAGCCTTACCTCGCTCCCCCAGACTGTGTGGTGGATTTGAGCTGCCAACCTTGTGGTCAGTAGCCCAATGCTTAACTCATCCCACCATTAGGGCTCCTTCTTCTCCAACACAGAAAACAAACGTTCTACCCTGGACAACCCTGTCTCAGACCACTGCCGCTGAGCAGGCTTCACCAGCTCATGGTGACCCCCTGTGGGCCTGACATGGATTCCCAGACCTTTCCTCTGCTGGACTCCACCCTCCAGCCTTTAGGTTTGTGCTAGCAGATGCTCTGTAATCCAGAGAGGACAGGAGACAGGGACTTGGGGCCGCTCGACACAACCCGCTAAAACCACGCCTGCTGCCGAGGAGTGGGTCCAGTTCTCCAGGAGAGCAGAGCCCCCCACAGTGTCTATAGGGTGAGCTTTATTCTGCTCCCACGGAGTGGCTGCAGACTTTGACCTGCTGAGCTTTCACCCCTGAGCTCTTAGTGACTTCCCAGGACTCTATAAGTATCTGAAAATTGATTATTATAATTTTATCTAAAACTTCTCCAAGACCATGGACACTTTGCCTCCTAGTCACTGTCCACCCGCCCTACGCTGGGTTCTAGGGATGTAGGCCACCCACAGCCCCAGCGTCTCCCCGATTCCAACACTGACCTGGACTTCCTGCCCTCAAAGGGTCTCAAGCACAGCCTGGCCAAGAAGGTTGCTGCATTCCAGCCTCTGCCTGGCCCCAGTCCAGCCCCTGCTCCAGCTCAGACAGTCTTTGCTTGATAAATTCTCAAGACCTCACACATGACTGTGACTTGCTGGCTGACTCACCTCCCTCCTGGCCCAGCGGAACACTCCACAGCTGCTGCCCCCCAACTCAGGCCAGGGCCAAGAGGAGCAGCCTGGCTGGGTGCAGCTGAAGCTTCCACCACCAGGCACCTAAGTGCTTACCAAGAAGCTCTGGAATTCTGCCACAAACCCCGAGGGGACAGGCAGCAGCAGGACTGTAGGCTGCCCCCGCCCCAAGATAGAGAGCAGCCGCCAGAAGCCCTGTCACCCAGAGCCTTGGGGACCCAGCAGTACCCCTCCAGGAATGACAGTATCCAGACAGTAAACCACATGCTCACAGAGGTCAGACTCAGAGGCGAGCACCTTCTGTGCTGCTGGTTGTAATGCCGAGGACAATGATGAGCAGGACCCAGAACACGGTTTTCGACAGGTACTGGGCTTGTAACCCACAAGCATTACTTTCTTTGCAGCTAAGGAAACAGAGACAGAGAGACTGGTGCAGAGTGGCACTGAGGCCTCTGAGGGCACTCGACCACCTGACCTGGTCAGTCTCCCTGCCCAGAGCTGACCAGTCCCAGCAGTCCCCACACAGAAGGGCTCTCTGTCGATATGCTGGACCCTGCAGGCCTAATGGGCTGCCTCTACAGCTTCCCTCCTCCAGAGGGCCCTCTTTTGCCCTGGAGATGCCTCACGCAGTCCTCACGTGGTCCTGGGCCTCCCTATTCCTAACCAAGCTTCCTCACAAGCCTGGATCAATTTTAAATGCTGAACAGCAAATAATCAGTTGCTATTAAGCACAAGGAGTCCTGGTGTGGTGCTGTAGGATGAGCAGTGGACAGCAAGGTCAGTTTGAACCACAGGGTTGGTGGTGCAAACTCACCAGCTGCTCCTCCTTGGAAACCCTATACAGGGTCACTACGAGTCAGAACCAGCCAACTGCACTTTAACAACAACAAATTAAACACACAGCAGCCACGGTGTGCCGTGCTTAAAGTCATTGACTGCTAACTAAAAAGTTGGTGGTTTGAACAATGAGATACCATCTCACACCAACAATACCAGCAAAGATAAAAAAAAGTAGAGGACAATAAATGCTGGCGGGGATGTGGAGAGACTGGGTCACTCCTGCATTGCTGGTGGGACTGCAAAATGGTCCAACCTCTCTAGAAAACAGTATGGCGTTTCCTCAGAAGGTTGGAAATAGAAATACCTTATGATCCAGTAATTCCTCTACTTGGTATTTACCCACAAGAAAAATGAGCCACAACATGGGAAGATATATGCACACCAATGTTCATAGCAGCACTATTTACAATAGCAAAAAGATGGAGACA